CACGGGCGCCGCCGCCGCCGGGGTTTCCAGCAAGCCCGGGCCGGAGCCGGGAAGAGCCGCACCGGGCTCCAGTTTCGCCAGCCCCGGTGCTATTTAAAGGTGTCAGGTGGCTCCGCCGCGGCGGCTCCTGGCCCCGGGTCCTGGCGGCGGCAGTTGGAAGAGCCGAGGCGAGGGCGCCGATCCCGGACTGCGAGGGGAGGCGGAGAGACGGGGCAATTGACTATTGCTAACAAGTTAGCCTTGATCGAGGAGTAATCAATTATCTGCAGCGGCACTTCTCTTTCTCTCTCCGCTCTCCCGTCTTCCTCCTCTCTTCTTTCTCTCTGTTCTCTCTCCCCCTGTCCTCTCTCTCTCTCCCTCCCTCCCTCTCTTCACTCCACTCTGCTCCCCCCGTCCCTCTCCTTCTCTACCTCTCCCTCACCCCTCTCTTTCACTCTCTGTCTGTCCAATGCAGGCGGCTCTAAGTTGGGAAGCTCATTAATTAGCGGGCCGGGGGTAGGAGGAGCCGGCTGGAATTAGCCTGCCTAATGCGCCTGTCAGTCCGGGCTCTACGCCGTACTCGGCCCGAGATGTTTGTAAATTACATTAGAGGAGCCTTTATTGCTCCCGAACCTGGGGTGACTAAAAAGCCACCGCCCCCACCCCAAACTGAGAGCCGCGCTCCGGGTACACCGGTCTCTCGCCGGCCTGGCCGCGATGGCAGGACCAGCCCGGAGGTCTCGGGCTCTGCAAGCCGCCGCGGTGGTGGAGCTAGAGAAGGGTACCGGGAGCCCCAGGAGCGGAGAGACTCGGCTGCCGCACTGGCCAGGTAAGAACTGGAGCCCGGGCGGCCCCCGCTGCTGCCCAACGTGGACTTTGATGATCCCAAGTCAAGAAGCCAGCACCCCTCTTCCAAGAGCACCCCTATTCCAAGACTCTCTTGTCCCCCAACCCCAGTCCTGGGCCGTGAGCTGGAGAAAAGAGAAGCTGAAGACTCCCGGGGGCTGGCCCCTAGGAGGTCAGAGCTGGCTTCCCAGCCCTGGGTGGGCGACTCGGGACAGAGGTGGGGATCCTGAGGGTTGGGGGAGGGGAACAATTGGAGAGCTCAGTCTTCCCCACCCCGCCAGGCGGAGGGAGGAGTTGGCGGTTCAGCACGCCTCTACCCTGGCCTGAGCCTGAGGCGGGCGCCCTACCTCCTGCAGTCTCGCACACTCTTTCCTCCCGCCGCGGGTCTCGGGGCCAGCTAGGGCCACCGCACATCTGATGACCGGCGTCTGACGGAAACTCAGCCGGGGGTCGGGGTTACCCGGGCGGGTTCCGGGCTTCCCCGCTGCTGTTTGCCCCAGCCAGGGCCGGGGCCCTGCTGTCCGCCCCGCCCAGCTGGGCACTGGGCTTGAGTGCAGCACCGCCCGACTCCAGCTGTTCCGGATGCGGGGTGGGACCGGGAAGGGGCCGGGCCCCGGCTGGGGCTGCGCTCTCTCTCGGAAACTCGCAGCGAGGCGAGGCCGGGGAACCAGAGAGGCTGGTGGCTGTGGATCCCAGGGCCTGGAATCTCGGAATTCCTAACGGCGAGCGTTTTGTGTGCATCGTTATTGGAAAGTGTTCGTTTTTTTTTTTTTTAATGTGTTTATTTGTGTGTGGTTCTTCCCGTTTGTTTCTTTAAACGTTTATGAACCTCTGGGCAGAGCAGCGGGACTGAACCTCAGCTATGTCTTTCTTTTCCCTTGAGGTACGACTGTGGGGCTGTGTTCTGGGGCCCTCTTCTCTCTTGCTACTCCATCTGGTTTGTGCTGGGCCCTAATTTTCCACTTCTTCCCTTGGAAAAAGGAGGGAAGGAAGAGGGTGTAGGAACCAGGAAGAAGAACTCTTTTTCTCTCCACTAGCTGCACACGCCACACTCGCTTTGTTTGTAAACTCCTGAGTGGCCTGTGTGGTCCAGGAGCACAGCTTGGGCCAGAGAAGGGTTCCATGAGCGGCTGGAGATTTGTGGACCACGGCAGGGAGTGGGACCGGAAGAATGGAAGAATGGGACCCTCCTTTTCGGAAGGGGGTGAGTGGAAGGAAGGAGGGAAGGAGAGAGAGGGGGAGAGAGAGAGAGAGAGAGAGAGAGAGAGAGAGAGAGAGAGAGAGAGAGAG